CACACATCACCCACAATGCTGCTGTGACTATTCTCGTCTGTCTCTTGGTGTGCCTGCACACATACACTTCTGTTGCGTATATAAAACGTGTAATTGCTAGGCCATACGGTATGCAGATCTTCAGTTTAAAAAAAATAACCATTTCTTTTTTAAATAGTTTTAATTTACAGGAAGAGTTAGTATAAAACCTTCCCCGAATTTTCTTAATTTTTAACATCTGTGTTACTATAGTTATATTTGTAACAGCTAAAGCATTTAAGAACAATTAAATCAGAATTCAGTTTTCACTAGTTTTATCCTGGTTCATTTTCTGTACAGGCAAATCTCACTTTATTGCTCTTCACAAATGCTGCTGCTTATTATTATTATTATTATTATTATTATTTTAAATTGAAGGCAAGATTCCACCAGCAAAAAGATTACAACTCACTTGACTGTGGTACTTGATTGTGGTGGTCTGGAACCAGAGCCACAGTATCTCTGAGGTATGCCTGTGCTTGGGTCCTTTCTAGGATACGTATTACATTTAGTCTTCTCCTTCCTCTGGTCTGTGACAGTTTCCCCTTCATTGTTTATGATGATCTTGATAATTTTGAGAAGTACTAGTGAGGTTTTCATTTTGGGTTTGTTTGATGCTTTCCTCATAGTTGCATGTGCTTCAGTAGTAATGATGTCTTTGGTTGGGGTACAGTAACAATGCTTTCTAGGCTGAGATACTCGTTGGGTGTTGATGGGGGAGAGAAGGGATGAGGAAAGTTGCAAATACTTAATAGGATCCTGTTCTGTGCCAGGTGATACATGCACTCTACCTGATTTAATTTATACCACATACCTCTGAGGTTGCCTCTGATATCAACACTTCGCAGAGTAGTTAAAAGAGGCTCAGAGAGATGAATTGTCTTTATTTTTTACTGCTTATACGTGGTGGGATTGGGAGTAACTCTTAGGAAGGTGAAAGAAATATCTAATGATCTTTATTAGAGGAATGTTTTCATGATAGAAAATCCAGCACATTTTTGTTGAATTAATATGTATTGTATAGGTATTTTATTTTCTAATCTCTTCCATAGGTCCCTTTTATTTCAATTATTTTTCCCTACTGAATATTGACCCACAGACAAGATGACAGATTCTTCGTCGTCTTCCTTCTTTTCTGATTTTGGGCTGCTGCTGTACTTGGAGGAGTTAAACAAAAATGAATTAAGTAAATTCAAGTCATTCCTAAAGAGTGAGGCCCCGGGACCCGGGAACTGCCTGCTACCCTGGACTGAAGTGAAGAAGGCCAACCGAGAGGATCTGGCTAACTTGATGCGCAAGCATTATCCCGGAGAGCAAGCCTGGGATGTGGCTCTGAAAATCTTCGGCAAGATGAACCTGAGGGATCTGTGTGAGAGAGCAAAAGCTGAGATGAGTTGTGAGTGATGCTAGGGACATATCTGGGGGCGGGGGGTGGGGGCGGGGAGAAGGAAGTACTTCTTGGAAGCTACTGGGATGATTCTTTGAAAGGGATTTAGAGATTAAGCCATTTAGTGGTTCACAAACTCCTTGGAGCCACATATATTGGGAGCTTGTTGGCTCATTTGAGAAACAACAAAGAGGCAGGAAAGTTTTGAGAGCTGTTACAGCCTGGCCCATTAATTAGGGGTAATTAATCCATTTGGTAGCAGTTAGCATGATTAAAGCAACTGAGTGATGAGAATTATCCCATCTAGTATACCTTTGCCTAAACTACAGATAAGCTCATGTATTAGACTAAATTTTGAGGAATCTCAAATGTCACCCCAATAAATTTCTCAAATATTTAAAAAAAAATCTTTGCTAAAATATGAGGAATGGGCAAAAAAAAATATTAAGGGACATAAGCCAAGTCGGTATTTTTAGTCCTTCCCAAGTATGATATATTGTAGACATCTGAAACTCCTTACTCAAATTTCCTTTGAGCCTCACCATATCTGTGTGAGGTCAGTACAGACAAGGACACTTAGGCTTAGGCTAGACCCTTGCCCTGTAACAGGCATGGCAAGAGGTCTCCTACTTCAGTGTTGGTTACATCGCATCACTCTTCCTCCCGTAAACTGGTGCAGTCTGGGGCTCTGTTGGCTCTAGTTTCTTAAACCCAGATGGTCATAGAATTGGAACTCTGAGGAAAATTCTGGCCCCTGTTCTGGCCATTACCAAAGCTCTCCTTGTTTTTGGTAATCTTGTGATCATGTTGAAACCTGTTGCAGGTACATCCCAGACCATGGAACCAGAGGACACCACGGCTGGAGAGGCGCAAGGTGAGCAGGAGGCAGTTCTGGGTAAGTAGACAGGGTTTTGTTAGATTTGGGAGGAGGTTGAGCTTTTAAAGCATTGATGGGGTCTATCTGCGAGGGCACTTTTGTTCAACTCTTTGCTAACTTCTAATTCCTACCTGTTCACTGATTATCATTCAGAGAGTCAACAAAACTGGCTCTCTGGCCAAAGTCAGAGTCAGGGCCATGTTGATTCAGGGCCTCAAGAGAATGGTATTTGGGAATGCCCAATCAAAGGTGAACGTCTAATAAACAAAGGTATGTTCATGTTGGTATGTTATGGACTAAGAGTCTCTGAGTTGGCAGGGACTATTTAGCCTGTCATGTCTATTCCCTTCCTTTAGAAGCGATGCTGTAATTGAGTTCCCACGGTATTGTGGACTAGTCCACATAAAGTGTAACATCTAGTTCAATCCCATTTCCATTTTCCCTACTTTGTTTTGAATTCTGTTTCACTGAATTCCAGTTTATGTAAATGGAATTACAGTACAAAGAAAACTGGAGCAGGTGAGAAAGCTTTTTATTTATAACTCAGCCATGCTGGTTTCTAAGAGGCCACGCTCATCCATTCAAGAAGTAACTGAGGCCCTGGTCAGGTATATAAGTGGTTAGAGTGTCATCGCAATATGCCAAGGCTGTGGGTTCATACAAGATGCAACCAATGAAAGCATGAGTAAGTGGAATAACAAATCAATGTTTCTCTTTCTCTCTTCCTCTGTCTCCCTTCCTCTGTCTCCCTAAAAAAAAAAAAAAAAAGAGAGAGAAAAATAATTGAGAACCTTCTTCATTTCAAGGACTAATAAATAAAAATTGCTTATTTCATTAAATGATCTTGAAGATTACTTCCTGCTTTGACCTTAATTTCTGATTCAATATAAGGACATCTGTTTTTATGGTATAAATTTAAGAAACCAAGTTTTTATTTCCATAGAAATTTACTGTCAGAAAATTTGGAAGACAGATAAAAGTAAACAAAGAAATTAAAAATCACCCTTATAATCTCAGTTTCCTTTTTAAGTATTGCACTGTACTAGATATTATACCAGAAAGAATACAGTGGGGCCTTGACTTACGAGTTTAATTCGTTCCATGACGGAGCTCATAACTCAAATTACTCGTATGTCAAATCACTGTGACGTTTGCTGCGCCAACTAGCCGTGGGGTATCTGAAGCTGGCTTGTAACCCGAATTTTTTTGAGCTTGCAACTCAAAGCAAAAAATCAGCCGAGAGACGGCTTGTATCTCAAAAAAAACTGGTTAGTCGGGACACGCGTAAGTCAAGGCCCCACTGTACCTATATTCTAATACCATAACTTTTCGTGGAGGACAATTAAGCATAATTTAGTGTGATATTAAGTCTGTTAGATATTTGTGGGTTTTTTGTGGGTTTTTTTTTATTGATTTCAAAGAGGAAGGGAGAGGGGGAGAGAGAGAGAAACATCAGTGGTGACAGAGTCATTGATTAGCTGCCTTCTGCATGCCCCCTACTAGGGATTGAGCCTGCAACCCAGGCATGTGCTCTTGACCAGAATCAAACCTGGGACCCTTCAGTCCACAGGCTGACGCTCTATCCACTGAGCCAAACCAGCTAGGGCAAGTATGTTAGATATTTGTACTGAATGCCCTAGTACAGTGGTCGGCAAACTGCGGCTCGGCAAACCGCGGCTCGTGAGCAACATGCGGCTCTTTGGCCCCTTGAGTGTGGCTCTTCCACAAAATACCGACTTCTGCGCATGGACCACGAAGTTTCAAACGCACTCTGCGTGCGTGCCCACATGTGGTATTTTATGGAAGAGCCATAC